GGGTGATTACTTATGAAAGTGTGCGCTAAAAAGTTAACACTTGTATGCATATATAGATGTGAATGATTACTTATCTATAACGTATAAAATTCTGTTGTTTTCTTCCCAAATTCTAGTAATGATAGTCGTTCTTTGCCCTTGTCCTACTTATCCATACCAAAGTACAATTTTTTTTCTCTTCTTTCGTGTCAAAATGCTCTTGCAACAAAGAAGGTCTGTGCCTCTATTTACCGTATATTTTTCTTTCTTGTTTTAGTAACCGCCTACGTTAATTAATTGCGCTCACCAAATAATCAGGCCACAGTACTGTGGCCTCGATACTCCTACATGAAAATAGATCTTAGGAAATCCACCTTCTCCGACAATTATTCGTATTATTTTTCTCTTCCCACGCCCTGGAACACGATCTTTGCAGTTACAGATAAACACAGACAACAAGGTGCTTTCTCCTACGTTTACACAGAAAACAATTCAAGGAAGCACATTGACTTTACTTTTCTCTTAGGTTGTTTGTTTCGTTGGCTGATCAGTTGACTTTCATTTTTGTTATTTTGTGCTAGTGCTAGTACAGATTTGCCCTTTTAAATACAGAAAGGCTCGGATTCAAACATTCAATTGTTTAAATCCGAGCCTTTCTGTATTCAACAGGGAATTCAAGTTTGAAACCACATTCAATTCATGGTCTACTGTCATTGCAAATCAGTCGATATGTTTTGTTTTGTTTTAGTAAGAGTTTTACAGTACATGCATCACAATAAGGTCATACAAGGGTCGCAGATTAGAGATGTTACATGAGAGTAACAAGCTCCAAAAAGGAGGAGAGATATAAGGACGATAGTTGTTCGATAGGAACAAGGAACAAACCACACCAGAGCACCCGCCAACCACCCACTTCAATGTGTTTGGTATTTTCAAAAGAAAAAGAAAACATGTTACTCGCGCTGTTATGAGTAGATGTACAAATACTTGTGATCACCGAATGAACAGTTTTGAGATTATGCCTAATAATTAAAA